ATCTGTGGACAAATCTCTAGGCATTAAGAGACACCAGAAAAACAGGAAGAACTAAGGAGAATAGAGACTTGCACCTCATCAATAAGTCTGCAGTTCTCCACAGTTAACAGACTCACTGAAGGCACCACCTGAAAACAGGCAGTATAACAGAGCTATCTTTGAGGTGCTCCCCTCCCCAGCTGTGTCTAACAAGTTCTTTGAAGGGCACAAAGAGAAGAAATAAGAAGAAGCAAAGGAGAGGCACAAGAAAATTCAGGAAAGGGATGTCACAGATTCTTTGGTAGAAAAAGCAAACGGAGAGATACAAAATAGGGAAGCAGCAAGAAGGAGAAAGGATGGGAAGTCCTGAATGTGGGGTGGAATGAGGTGGGCTGAAGGTGTGATGTGCAACCACAGAAGAAGAAAGGGATGGAAGTAGCACAGAGGGAACATGTGGAGGGAAAGGCAAGAAGAGATCAGGAAAGCAGGAATTCTCTGACATACGTTGGAAAGGCAGCCTGCTAACTTGGATGAGATCAGAAACAAGGTGCCTGGGACTAGGTACAGAGAACAGAAGTGACATCAGCATTGCTTACCAGGCACATTTGGTATTCAAGGCGCTTCCGAGCATCTTCACTGGGCTTCTTCTTACGGAAGAAGAGTGGCATCTTGAGTTGTGACTACAGCTCCGTCTGAGTGGTACAAACTATCAGCATAAATAAAGGCAGATGGCTCTTGGAGCGTGTGGAACCTGGACTACAGAACTGTGCTCTAATAAGAAAAACAAAAAAAAAAAGAAAAAAAAAATCACTGCTGCAACAATTGTCTTCAGTTAGGCCTTCCTTTGGCTTGATCACACCGAGCCCATCACACCTCTGCAACCGAAATGTCAACGTGAGTCTTGAAAGCACTGTGGAACTTCTGAGACAGGCAGACTGTCCTGTCATTCCTGTGCAGGATGCAAGAAGGCCAGCTGAAACACGTACAGACCTGAAAACACAGGATCCAATCCAGGACAGGAATTAAGAAGGCGGTGCCAAGAAAGCAGGCACTGGGACAAAACCAAACTACTCAAACTCAGAAACGATTAACTCTAGCACCATAATGAGCAACTGCAAAATCCTACAGAGTAAATCTAGGCTGGAAATGAGACAATTCCTAATTTTGAGAGCCTCCATCTTGCAGAGCAAGAGAAACAGGCAGGACCGATGCAGATCAGAACACAGAGGACTTGGAAGGGGACTTTGCAATTGCTGCACTCTGGCAGTCACACAGCCCGTGTCAGCTGCTGTCAGGGACACCAGATAGACTCAGGGTCAGGGTATCCAACCTCAGCTTGCTTTGCTTCTCAGCTCCACTGTAACAGGTCATGGCCTCGAATTTTAGAGCAGGGATTATCTTGAAGTAAGCAAACACTTGGTTCACTGGCATTTCAGACAGAAACTGCTGCACAGCAATGCTTTTCCTATTTTAGTCACCTAGTGAGGCAAAGGGATTCTGCTTAAACACCTATTAACTTAAAGTTAGGTTTTAAATACGTTTAGAAAACCAACCTATTTTCCAAACACCAAATTACTGCCCACAGAGCCAAAATAACCTCCCTGCTGAGAAATTTCAGTAAGTTCAGACTTAAATACCCAAATCAGGACTTGGGCAAATCCTTGTGGGTCCCTTCCAACTTGGGAGATTCCACGACCCTGAGAAATGCTCACCGTGGCCCACTCTGCTCTCCCTCTGTGTAACACCCACTGCTCACCACGGAGTCATCACTCACCAGCCAAGGCAAGCCAGGAGGAGAGGCCAGAGTGAAAATGCAGACGGTTAAGCAAGAAGGGAAATTCATGATCAGGAATTAGTTAAGAAATTCAGTAACACATAACAAGGAGCCTCGAACACAGGTCAAACATCACAGACAGGAGTAAAAGGGGACTTAAAAGATAAGAAACAAGAGAAGGATGCTTGCAGCAACGCAATGATAACACTGATGACCTTAAGCACCGCTTTATCCCTTCTTAGCTATCTCTGTTACGGCCACGTACCTTCCATCAGTCGTGTGGACAGCAGACAGTTCAGTTTTCACCCCAAAACTGTAAAAGCTGAAGGACAGGCGGCTGAACAGAGAAAGAAACGTGACAGGGCTGCGAGGAGAAACGATCAGGAGCCATCTGCAGCGGGCCGGGCACCTGCAAACCTGCATCCCGGCGGACCCCGCATCCCGGCAGACCCCGCAGACCCTGCGGTGCTCAGCTGACTGAGGAGCACCCACCGCAACGCGCCCAGCTGCCGCTCAACGAGACCCCCCGCCCCTCCTGTCAGCCACCACAGCGGCCGGCAGCCTCAGCACCGCCGCCGGCCCCAACGCGACAGAAGCGGCAGCAAATCCCCTTCCGGCTCCGCGCCGCCCAGCCCCCTCCTCAACCCGGCCGCGCTCACCGCAGCCCGCTGCCATGACGCCCTGTCCCGGGGCCTCCGCATCACAGACACGAAAGGCCAGAGCGCCCCCCTCCCACACCATAGAGTTCCCTGTGAGCGAGGGAGAAAGGGGCGGATCCCAAGCTCTCGCGAGATCTCGGTGCCAATATATATCTCCCGCGCAGCGCCTACTGCCTTTCCACCACCGGCTAGGCCGCGGTTTTTGGGATCCGCCGTCATCCGCGCCGCCCGCCGCCGCCATGCCGCCCAAGTTCGATCCGACCGAGGTGAAAGTCGGTACGTGTTGGGCTGGGGGGACGGCGGGGCGCTGGGGGAGCGGGGATGGCGGTGTGGAGTTGACTGAGCTTTGCTGTGTCCGTAGTGTATCTGCGCTGCACCGGCGGGGAGGTCGGCGCCACTTCCGCCCTGGCCCCCAAGATCGGACCGCTCGGGTTGGTACGTGGGGCTGCGGGGTCGGGCGAGGGGTGCGGGGCTGGTTCCGGTGCGGTGCGTGGCTCTTTGCCTTCATTCATGTGAAGTTTTTCTGATTGTAATACGTGGGTTGTTCTCAGTCTCCCAAAAAGGTCGGTGATGACATCGCCAAGGCTACGGGGGACTGGAAGGGGCTGAGGATCACGGTGAAGCTCACCATCCAGAACAGGCAAGCGCAGGTACTGAATGCCACGAGGGATCGCGCTGTGGTGCAAGCGCTGGGCGCAGCAGGCGCTGCTTGCCGCAACCACAGTAGCCAATCCCGGCAGGGTCGACTCAGCCCTTCATCCTTCCGAGGTGGATAAAATGAGTGCCACACTTGGTGTGGGGTCTTCTGGGAAGACCTGGGTAGGAAGTGCCCGATTGTTCTGAGTGCAGTGTGTGTGAAGTGTGGGGCTGGAAAACAAGGGGGCATGGGGGTCTGAACGAAGCCCTTCGGAGCCGGTCTGCAGCCACCTGCCACTATACCTGCCTTGAATTCAGTGGCTAGTATATTCCAGTGGTGAGCTGAGAGCAGCCCCAGCCCAGGAAGCAGTGCTCGTCTGGCTGTGGGGAGTCCTGTGCCGAAAGGCTGGGAACAAAGTCCTGTGCTTCAGGAGGAGGCATGTAATGTGGAACAGAAAACTAAGTCCAGGCTTTGTGTTATCTGCATGCTTGGGTGGTGTGGAAAAGAATGAATCTCTTCTTATTTAGATAGAAGTGGTTCCTTCTGCCTCTGCTCTGATTATCAAAGCTCTGAAGGAGCCCCCCCGTGACAGGAAGAAGCAGAAAAACAGTAAGTTTTGTTCCACCTTTGGTTCTCAATGTCATTTAGTACTGAAAAAGAACATGTACCTCATGGCTGCTTAGCATAAACTGGCAGGGGGCTTCTGGGGCAGCAGGATTTCCTGAAGTGTAGCACACAGACAGTGCATACATCTTCAAAGTGAGCCGAACAGCCACCCGCCACTGTACCTGTCTTGTAATGCAGTGACTTGTATAGTCCAGAGGTGAGCTGAGAGAAAATGCCAACCTAGGAAACAGAGTTATTCTTTTTCTTGTGGGTAGCTCTGTGCCGAAGGCTGGGAACAGCAGCACTGATCACAGCCCCAGTGTAGCTGTAACCTCACTGCTTTCTGTGTGATCTGAGTGCCAGAAATGGCATTTTTCTGTTGGAGCATGGGGAGCTGGAAGTGCACTGTGCTTCAGTGAGCTTACTGGTGCTGTTGTTTTGCTTCACAGTAAAGCACAGTGGCAGTGTCAGCTTTGATGAGATAGTGAACATCGCTCGGCAGATGAGGCACAGATCTCTGGCTCGAGAGCTGTCTGGTAAGTACTGACCTTAAGGGGTGGGACTGAGTCTTGCTGTGTGATCTGAGTGGCTCAGGCTCTTGGCTGATCCTTGGGACAATCTAATAACTGGTGTGGTGAAGTTCCTACAGCTTGTATGTGCTGACACTGAGCAGGTGGCTGTAGCAACACACGAACAACCTGGTGCTGCCAGGAGCCAGCATCTCACTGCCTGGCAGTGCCAGCTGCAAGGTCTGAGTGCATGGTAGGGCTTAACTCAGGGATCCTGACCTGCCTGTAGTACCTACTGTCATAATATGGGGCTGAGTAGCACCCTAGGCACTGAGCGTGTAGCAGACACAGTGCTTTCTGGAGCTTTCTGTGAGCAGTACCCTCTAGCTGGCTTAGGCTGTGTGCTGCCCCTTCTAAACCAGGTGGCTGCAGCCTGCAGACCACCAGATAGCTGGCATGGGAGGGCTGAGGCATTTAGGAATTGGGCTATATAATGGTTCTTCAGGTTTTTTTTCTGTGCTAAAGCTGTGTTTTCCAACTGCAGGGACAATTAAGGAGATTCTTGGAACTGCTCAGTCTGTGGGCTGCAGCATTGATGGCAGGCACCCACATGATATCATTGATGACATCAATAGTGGTGCAATTGAGTGCCCAGCTGTAAGTATCCATCTCTAACTGAAACTGCTGTAATTAAACTATTTACTAAAGGGCTCTCTACTAATGAGCTGTATTTTCTTTTCTCAACAGAGCTAAGTGTGGAAGAGGAGTTGCCATATGAAGGTTCTTACATCTTCTGTAACACCTTAAATACTTAATAAAACACCAGGCTGTCTGTAAGCAGTGTCACTGATTTATTTTTTTGTCCTTGTCCAGTTCTGTGTAAGTGGGCTCTGCCTGCCCTGTGCAGAAGTACCAAGGTGATGGTTCCTATCCAGATGTTCAAGATGAAGGATTCTCATGATGATTGCTTGCAGTGATGCAGAGCTTAGAGAAGTATGTGCATGTCCCATGTGCAGAGGGCAAACACCTCTGACTTCTGTGGAGAGCTTTCTGTGAGCTCTTGTCAATGCCAGATGTGCACACGGCTCTTACTGCCCTTCACTGGGGTAAGTGCTTCTGTAGGAGGTCAGCTTCCCCAGGTCAGTACAGCCGGGGCTGCTGTGGTGTCCCAGCAGCTGCCAAGGCTTGGAAATAACTGGGCTGCCTGCCTCTGGGAGGAGCTGCATGTGCTTTGATGGCACTGATAGAAATAAAATGCTGGATAGGGCTGTATGTCTAGGTCTGTCCTCAAGTCTGCAGCATTTGTACCTGACGGGATGGAGCTTGGCCCTGTTTGCCCAGCTGTGGGAACATCTGGCTTAGGTGGCAGTGTGGGTTTCTCTGGTATAGGTTCTTTGCTCAGGCTTTTCTCATGCCTGCAGTCAGAGGAGATGGGGGTTTTCTGGTGACTAGAAAAAATACAGACGACTCAGATTGAGGTGAACTCCTGTGCATCTTTCATTACTTGAAGGGGAGCAAGTCCTGATTTAGGGGTGGGATTCTGTAGTCTGGCTCAGAGCGTTGCAAAGGGTCCGGTTTCGTGTCTCTTTGGCCTCCTGACTCCTTGGATGGTGATGCTGGGGGAGCTGGGTAAGCAAGCTTGATAGCCCATGTCTACATCATATGCTCCAGGTCCTGGTGTCTCTGAAATAAAAAAAAAAAAAGCAGTTTGTGTTGGTAGTGTTGGTACTTCCCTTTGGGTGCTGTAAAAATCAAGTGCCACCTTAGCAGGCTGCTCCAAACCATCTGATGAAGTGTTAAGAACCTCTTCCAAACTCGGCTACAACAACATAACCAACCTCTAATGAAGAGGTGCTTTGTGTTTTAGGTTTGATGCATGTTATACGAGACAGGGTTTGATGCTTGGTGCTCACACCTGAAAGCAATGTGCAGCTGTTAACTGAGGTACTGCTGCAGGATGTGGGTAAAAGCGATGTTCTTGAAGTTCCTGGGAAGCATTGTTCTATCTCCAGCAGGGACTGGGCTCTCCTTTGGGGTGGCACAGCACCAAGGATGCTGTGTGATCTCTCAGGCTGCACAAAACTGAAGTGGAATAATCCTGGTGATAAGAATGCTTTAGCTGACACTGGTGTTGCTAAGCCTGGCTAACAATGGTGTTGTGAGTGCAGTTCACTGCAACCCCACCAGCACCCTGGGGTGGGGAGGAGCCTTTTCAATGTACAGCTAGTTTTCTGAAGGGAAAGGGAATGAAATTCTTCCCGAGATCCTGAACACTGTGGGGCTTGGTCTCAGAAAAGATTTTTGGAAGGTGTGCTTTCCTCCTCTACAAATGCAGTGATGGTACTCAATGAGTTGATTTTTTTTAATTGTCTTTTCACTTCAGCAAGCAACACAGTTATCCAGCACTTACAGCACAAGAGAGACTTTCTGGATGGAGCTCTTCTACAGCAAACAGGACTGTATATGGTGGTATGTATTGTAAATGTGGGAAATGGTGGCAAACTGGTGCATCTGGCAATGAATGTAGAGGATACCTGAGCTGGGCTGCTCAAAATCACCAAATGGGGCTCTGACTGTTTACCAGGATCTGAGTCCTTTGGGAAAAAGCCAGAGCGGCAGGAGGGAGCTGGCTGTGCTGGGGCATCGGCTGCAGCTGCATCGTCCTCCTGGTGCTGAGTGACTTGGAGTCTCTGCATAATGGAGGAAAAGTCAGGCCCCCAAATAAATCCCAGCCCAAGCTCAGTGTGAGAAAATGTGGTGGCAGCTACTGTGCTGTGTGTGCTGAGCTGTGGCTGTTGGTTGCTGGAGTAGTGCAAGCAGCATCAATTCCCGCTATGCAAAGCACCACACAATTCCTAAGTAGCCGTTGTTTGAGGCTACTTAGATGCAGAGCAATGTGGAGAAATGAAATCTTTGTAACTGCTCCAGCTTAAGCCAGAAGTGTGGCTTTTGGCTACAGTGCCTGAGTGCACAGCAGTCATGCACTAGGAATGCATCCCATACTGCTTGTGAAGCATAAAATGTACATAACGTTAGCATGGGGAAATCACCTGTTTGCACATGATTTGACATCAGGCTGCTGCTGTGATAAGGCCTTGTGCCTGTTCTGCTTCTGTGTTGCTGTGCCCAGTGGGGAAATGGGTGAAGCTTCCCAAGGGTGGACCTTGGGCAGGCTGAGGGAGCTGGGCTTGTTCAGCCTGGAGAAAAGAAGGCTGGAGGGTGACCTCAGTGCAGCCTTTCAGTATCTAAAGGGAGCCTACAAACAGGAGGGGAATCAACTCTTTGAAAGGGGAGATAACAGCAGGACAAGGGGAAATGGTTTGAAGTTTGAAGGAGGGAAGATTGAGGTTGGATGTCGGGGGAAGTTCTTTAGAGAGAGAGTGGTGAGGTGCTGGAACAGCTGCCCAGAAAGGCTGTGATGCCCCGTCCATCCCTGGAGGTGTTCAAGGCCAGGTTGGATGGGGCCCTGGGCAGCCTGGGCTGCTCTGAAATGTGGAGGTTGGTGGCCCTGCGTGTGGCAGGGGGTTGGAGCTTCGTGATCCTTGAGGTCCCTTCCAACCCTGGCCATTCTGTGACCTTTTCCACCTAAGATGTTCAAATAGCAGCAGTGCTGTAATTTTACGCTGGGCTCAGGGGCAGAAGTGGAATGTACAGCAGCAATGAGGGAGCTGCCAGGATTTCTGGATGAAGGCTGGGCTGTGTGGGAGGGCAGGAGGGATTTGGGCTGACCGATGTGTTTGCGGTTTCTGAGAATATCCAGGCTGGTCCGCTGCTGCCTGATGAAATGTGGGTACATCGCTCCGGTGAGCTGAGGGCTGCAGATAGTACATGTGGGCTGCAGTGAAATGGAGAAAGGCAGAACACAAAATTAGCTTCTGTCACTTCAAATAGCAGCAGCAGACATCAGCTTTTATCACACATTCCAACTCTGACTATCAGTCTGCAAGACCTCGTGCAGCCTCGTCAGCAGCTGCGGGAGCTCCCCTGCTTTCTGCTTCCCTTTGCTCCCTCTTCAGCTGTTTGTAGGGCCTTTCTCTGAGACAATGAGAGAATCAGGGAATAAAGCTGAATAAAACAAGACTGTCATCCCAGGCACTTGTTATTTTTAATTCTCTAGCTTGGAGGTTCCAAGCAAGGATGCATGGCCTTGGTGCTTTGTCAAGTGAGGTTTGCTTTTGATCCAGCACATTCCCCACCTCTCCAAGAACACAACAACAAAATCCTGGTTTGGTGTAAGGAAAAATGTCTCCATGTGGCCCCAGACTGCAGTGGGGACTGGAATGCTGGTGAGACCTCCTGGGCCCTGGGGAAGCTCCAGTGGCCAGGCTGGCTGTGTGCTCAGTGGTCAGCTGGTTCCTTCCAGCTGAGCTTTGCTGCAATCCCACCACCAAGCTGCACTAATGCTGGCGTTGCTGACAGTGAAGGCAGTCTGGTGGAGGTGAGCAGCACATCTTTCAGAAGCAATTTTAGTTTTAAGAGCTTTAAAGTGATTGCTAACCTCGGCATTAGCAGAGCCCCCGCTGGGGTGAGCTTGGAAGCACCCTGCGTTGCGCAGCATCCTTGCATGCGTGCGCTGTGGGCTCTCCCCACTTGACAGTGCATGAAATAATGGGGGAAGAAAAAAAATGTATTTTGCATAAGGGCAACTATCCTGGGGTCAAGATATGACCTTTCCCATGCTGCCTTAGGACAGCTCCAGCAGGAGCCCCGCAGCTCTGGGAAGCTGCCGATCTGGTCCCCCTCTGCCAGAAATTTTTTCCCACCCAGCATCCTAGAAGGGAACTGACGCAGCCAGTATCGACCTACATCAGCTCCGTGTTTGAACTCCATCCTCCTCTCTGCGCTCGGCCACCACGGTTTCTTTCCGCTGCAGCGTGCCGCATCTGCACGAGGAAGGACGGAAGTGGCACAGAGGGGGGGCCGAGCGCTTCCCAGGACGCGGCTGTGCCGTGCCGCGCTCAAGGAGGCGACCGCGCGGGCACCGCCGTCCGCCATTTACCCATGTTTCCGATTTGGACAACGCCTTCACGGCCGAACACGCGGAGTTTGACGGCAGCAGCACCGGCCCTTCGGCGCCGGGTCTCCGTCGGAGCACGGCGGTACGGAACGACGCCGAAGCGCGCGGAGCGGCGCCGGGACAGCGCGTCAGGAGCGCCTGCGCGGCGCGGAAGCGGAGGGGCGGCGGAGAGCGCTCCCGGAACGCAGCAGCCCGGAGCTGCGCGAGTCCGTTTGTCCGTCCGCTCCAGTTCCTATAGAACCCCTGGACATCCCGCCCCGGTGTGGGACCGGGCCGCTGCCAGGCCTTCGAGGCTGGCGCTGCGCCCCCACCCCGGCCACGTTACGGTTTATTGATGGCTACGCGTGTAACGCAGCGCCCCGCCAGGCTCAGGCCCGCTCCCACGCCGCCCCGCCCCCTCCCCGCCCGCCAGTGCAGGCGGCACAAAGCTTCCCGCGAACGTGACGTCACCGCCCGCTCCTCCCTCCCCCCGCCCCCTCCCGCGCCCGAACCCGCGCCCGCGCGCGCCCCCTTCCACCTTCCTCCCGCCCTCCTTTCCCACGTGACTCCGCGCCGCGCCGCCCTGCCATTGGCCGCGCCGGCGGCGTAGTAAGAGCGACGCGGCGAGGGCGCGGGCCGCCATTGGCCGGCGGGCGGCGGGTGGGAGGTGGTGCGGCGCCCCGCCCCCCTCCCCGGGTGTGCGCGAGGCGGCGGCGCGTGGCAGCGGCTCCCGCTCGCGGGCTCCGAGGCGCTGAGCGCGGGCCCGGCGCGGCCCGGCCATGACGGACTTCAAGCTGGGCATCGTGCGGCTCGGCCGCGTGGCCGGCAAGGTGCGGGCTCCAGGGGAGCGGACGGACCGACGGACGGAGGGAGGGGGGGCGCGGCCGGGAGCCGCGGGCCGGGCTCGGCCGCACGGAGCGGGCGGCGGGCGGAGCGCGGGACGGCGGGCGCGGGGCGGCGGCTGAGCGCGGTGCTGTGTTGCAGACCAAATACACGCTGATCGACGAGCAGGACATCCCGCTGGTGGAGAGCTTCTCCTTCGAGGTGAGCGCCGCGCGGCCCCCCGGGACCGAACCCCTCGGGAGCCGCTCCTCCCCCCTCCTGGGCCCGCGGCCCCGCGCCCCGTCCCCGCACCCCGCCCCACCCGGAGCGCTCCGGAGCTCCGTCCTTCCACGCGGCCGTCCCCGCGCCGCGCTGCCGGCCTGCCGCCCCTGCGCGCTGCCGGCCGGGAACGGCGCTCCCCCTGTCGGAGCGGGGAAACTTGAGAGGTGTTCCCTCCGCACGTGGGTGCGGAAACGTCCCCTGAGCGGAGTCGCACCCCGAGGTTTGCTGTTACCGCCCGCGCACCTGGGGCTGGGAAGGCCGAGGGATGCCCGGGCTGTGCTGCGCGCGGAGCTCCCGGCGCCGCGTTGTTCCCTCCGCGCGGCCCTGCTGACAATAGTGAGGGCCCACGTGCAGCGCCGCGTCCTACGAGGAGAGGAGGGGGCTGTGGGAGTGGGGCCGGGGCGGTGCAGGGGCCTTCGGTACTTCCACTGTGGGGTGAGAGGAGATCTGGGTCAGATGGGGAGGAAACTCTTCTGTCAGAGGGCCGTGAGGCCCCACCGCCATTGCCCAGAGCTGCGGGTGCCCGTCCCCGGCTGCCCAAGGCCATGGATGGGCCCTAAGCAAACTGACCCGGGGGGGGTGTGGGGTCCCTCCCAACCCAAGATGCAGCAGTAGAGGCTCAGTCGCGCTGGAGATTTGAACCATGATTCCATGTCAATTCAGCGTCCTGCGGACATGTGGGAAGGGCTGCCTGCCTTTACCACTGCTGTCCCATTGCAGCTCACACTCTGCTGCTCAGCACCCGTTGTTCTTACAGTTTTCCCCTTCTCTCCAGGCTCGCATGGAGGTGGATGCTGATGGAAATGGTGCTAAAATATTTGCTTATGCTTTTGACAAAAACCGTGGAAGGGGATCTGGCCGCCTGCTGCACGAGCTGCTCTGGTGGGTATCCCATGGAGCCCAGGGCTGCTGCTGCTGCCCACAGCATTTGGGGCCTCTCAGGGAGTCCCAGCCTCAGCCAGAGCCCAGCACAGCAGTGCTGCTGTGTCCTGGCCTGGGTCTGTTTTGCACTGTGCCTCGAAATAGCTGAGGCTCCAATAACTTTATTTGCACGGAAAGTAGTGACAGGTGAGTATTGTGTTGCTTAAATCTGAGAAATACAACTGAAACTTCACTTGGGGCTTCTGTCCTGTGATGAGCAGGTAAGTGAGAAGTGGCAGAGTGTGGATAGAACATCTGATAGCCTGAAACTTCAGGGATTTTGCTTGGCTTTCTGGAGTGCTGCCTGAAGGGTGTGCTGCTGTTTCCTATACTGTTGTGTCTGCTCCCCACAGGCAGGGAGCATTGCCTGAAATTCTTTGTAGCTGCCATTAGGACTCAGAGCCCAGTGTGCATGGTTGCCAGCAACCTGTTGTTAGAGGCACTTTGCAAATGTGTTTTTCATGGATTTGTAGGAAAGATGGGATATGCTGAAGAGAATCGTTATTTATTTTTAAAAGTCTTTAAGAAATTAAACATGCATTCTGTTCAGTCCAATAAACTGTAATGAGAAGTCACAGTGCCTAAGATCTCACTGTACTTTCTTCATTGCTTGAAGTTACTTGTTCTCCCCCAGCTCAGAGCCTGGATGAGAGGAGGGAGTCAGGAAAAGCTCCAGGCACTATTACTATTATTTTCAATCTGCTCATTAAATATGGATTTTAACCTGCTTCTGTTATTGTTTAATCTCACAGTACACAACTTTGGAAGTGAGTCACAAGTTGGCTGCGCCGCACGCTGTGAGTCGGGCTGTCAGCCCCTGCTCACTGTGCACCTCACAGCAGGACCTGCAGTGCTTGCATTGCTCCGGTGTGCACAGGGCTTTGCGCACAGCTCAGCCATTGCCTCTCTCGTTAGCTGGACTTCTTAGGAAACAAATCTAACGTTCAGTTGGGTAACTCAAATCGTGTGAGTTCACCGTATGCTGGTGTCAAACCCCCGAGGTTCTGTGTGATGGGGATTTTTGGAGGCTGTGAGCTGTCCTGAATGCAGATCTGCATGTCTGGAGATGCAGTCAGGTTCTTTGGGAAGCACTCAGCATTTCTACTGTTTTGTAAAGTTGGTTTGATCCCTCTGAAGGCATGATTTGCTGTGGTCTTAAATTACGTGCTACCACGAGGCTGCTTTGTTTGCCTTGCTGCCTGAGTCTCCTTGTATCTCAGGGAAGCCTCTTGGCTGCAGGTGCTGTGTAGTGCTGGCCCCGCTGTCAGCACACCGTTCTGCTCTCCTTGTGCTGCAGCTGTTCTGAAAAGAAACCTGCAGTGTGTTGAGCTGAAGGTCCTTCCCCCTCTGGCAGCAGGGAGCACTGCGGGGGCCCTGTAAGGGAGATGAGTGGCAGCACCCATCACAGCTGTGTTTCCTGCATGAAAGAAAAGCAGAGAGCTTGGGTTAGTGCATGTGGAGGAGTGCAGGAGTTCCACCCGTCCTTCTGTGTGTCCCCTTCTTCCCCAGAATCTCACTGAAGGAATAAACCTGATGCTGTGCTTCTGGTTTAGCATACAGTGTTGGATGCTTCTGCAGTAAGGCTGATAGATGTTTTTTTGCTTGAGTTAAGCAGGAATCATTGTTCATGCAGTGAGGGCCTTAAAGCTGGTGGCTGCCGAAGCTGCAGCGGTGATGGGATCCTTTTCCCACTCCCCCCAAAACCCTCCTGCCAATGTGTGCAGCAACCTGCAGTGCCACATGGGAGCTGCAGCCTGAATCATAACACACTTCTGCAGTGCTCCTTCAGGAGGAGCTTCCTGCAGCCTTTGGCTCAAGTGGCTCCGGGATGCCCTGCACCAGGATGTGCCCCTGGGTATTATGGGATGCAGGAGGTACAGCTGCAGTGGAGCTTATTGGGGTCATGGGTGCAGATAGAGGCTTTGTAGAGGGGGGGTAGGATGTGGCTTATTGATGCCCCTAACAAGCTCTCGGAATCCTCTTGTTCCCTAACTTCAGCCTTTCTTTAAACTCCCATTATCTGTTTCAGAAAAGTTTCTTGGTCAATCTCCCTCCTTCTCTCCTCTCCTGTTTGCTCTTAATTTGCACCTCTGTTTCTTCCTCCCAGATCCCACATCCATATCAATCTCATCTCCCTTGTTGGCACTTTGTCCTGGTCTCGGTCTAATGAACCTTAATTCCTTCCCTCTTGGTATCTGATCAATGGCTGCCTTCATCTGTATGCATGTATGTATGCATGTATGTATCCATGTAGCTCCATGGTTCTCACTTCCAGCCTTCAGGGTTCCCCATTTCACTTGTCAGACCCTCCTGCAGTGTTCAACAACTCCCAAAGCAGCTTTCCCTCCATCAGGGCCTTTCAGCAGACTGTTTTCCATAGCTTGTTTTTGGTTTCTTTTCTTCTCTAAATCAAGGCTGGCATGAGTTAATATGCAGCTGTCCTGCTTTGGGTTCAAGCAGTGTTCAGTAATTTCTCTTAGTCAATTGTGCAGGCATTGCAGGCTGTCTCTTATTCACAATTAGTCAAAAACATTCGCCTCTTTGGTGGTGAAACCCCTGTCCTGTTGCTTAAGAGACGTCCTCAGTAAATGAGAAACTGACTCACGCCAGTGCCGAACTTGAACATAAGCGTGTCTGATAGAAACTCTTACTAAAATAATAAAACAATATTAGCTCCTTTCAAGCTATAATATTAATAATTACATGGGTGCTGTTGCTGAAACTGGAATGATGGTTTCTGGAAGTTTCTCTGCAATATTCTTGCAATTAAAATATACTAGGATTGTCTTCTGAGTCAACTAATTTATAATGGAAATGAGCTTCTGAAACAGATCTCTGTCTTCTGGGAGCTGATACAGCTGAAATATTCACTGCAGCCTGAGTTGTATCATCTCTGTTTCAACGGCAGCAGGCTGGGAGGCCTTTGGGTTCAGTGCAGAGTTGGGGCTGTGGAGCGTCGCTCGTTGCTGAGCTCTGAGCTGGTTTTGTTTCCTGCAGGGAGAGGCACCGTGGAGGGATCGCCCCGGGATTCCAGGTGGTACATCTGAATTCAGTGACCGTGGACAACCGCCTCGACAA